GAGAGAGAGAGAGAGAGAGAGAGAGAGAGAGAGAGAGAGAGAGAGAGAGAGAGAGAGAGAGAGAGAGAGAGAGAGAGAGGGTATGTCTCTATCCTCGCGGCTGGCCTCATGGTACTTCCATAGATAGGATGAGCAAAATTTAAACATTCTACCCCTAGAACACTCAAATATACACTGCCAGACTTGTTTTTTTTTTTTTTTTTTGTATTTGTTTGTTTGTGTGTGTGTGTGAGAAAGAGAGAGAGAGAGATCCACACACACACAACATTAAAAAAAAAATGTTATAATTTTTTATTTTTTTTTATCCACCCGAAAACGACCCCCCCAAAATTTCACTTTTTTTTTTTTTTGCGTGTGTTGATTCTGATGAGGAACGTCATGCGCAGGCGATGCGTGCGCCCCGATTTCGGGCGCGTGGCTTCACCTGCGCGTGGCGAGGCCGTGGAAAAAGTCGGCCGCGGGGTCGCGACCGAGGCCATGGGATCCGCGGCCTAGGGGGTCACGTAGCCAACGACTATCTAATCCAAAAAGTATCTTTGAATGACTATCTAATCCAAAAAGTATCTTTGAATTTCATCGCGTGCAGCGCAACGTCTTTTTCCCTGGAAGAAAAGGAGAAGGAACACACATCGGACCTCGGTTTCTAACAACGGACCGACGGCGCTCTTCGCAAACCTTGAAATCCGAGTGGGAGGGTCGCAAGGAAAGTGAGAGAAAAGGAAGGGTGCTGCCAAAGCAATGAATGAAGGATCTGGCATCTCCTAGGAGGTTGACGAGGCAGTAAAAAAGCTCCGCAGTCAATGCTGGCAGCATCATATTCTGCTTTCAGATGTTCTCCAATTGATATAATGTTCTAGGACACTGGACCCGTTTTCCAGCAGGTACTGCTCTTCACCAATACGCGGAGCCTCCTCGGGAGTGCTAGTGGTGCCTGCTCTTATCAGCATCCCTTGCACAGGCTGGGGAAGTCTTAAAAAAAAAAAAAAAAAAAAAAAAAAAAAAAGGTCGCAGGCTGACTGTGGCGTACTCAGGTCCACGCGGGCCCATCAGGGCCCGACCAGGTAGACTAGGTGTCCTTAGGGGTAGGGTGTGTGTTGTTTCGACCCTCAGACTGAGTAGGGTCCGCAGGGTCGGTAGGCCTGGGTAGGACCGGTACCAGTTGGAGGCCCTGCAGGCCTCGTTTTGGTTACAGGCCCTGGCGCGCGTTTTGGCGCCAAGGCGCTGATTTTGAGACCGCGTGGTTTCAGTAGGCGCTGGATGCCCAGACTCAGTTTGGGCGCCAAACTTTCGAGGCCCAGCCTAAGTTTGAGCGCCAGGACTCAGCAGCTGAGGCCGACACAGCGCTATATATATCTGGGTCCGGCCTCAGTCACGGCATTCAGTAGAGGATTGAAGTGAGGCATACTTCAGACGACGGCAGTGCAGTAGCAATTGACGATAGGACTAGTCTTCCAGCGCTGGGCGCTGATAGAGTAGAGTAGCGCAGGGAGGGAGAGATGGTGATGGCGGCCAGAGGACTTACCTGAGACTTACCTGCGTGGCCAGTGCTCCAGCTTCGTCTTCAGCACGTCCGCACCTGCATCAAGTCACCACCTTTCGCAGGTCAGTACCTGGTATAGAGAGAGAGAGGGATCTTCTTCTTCTTCCTCCTCCAGTCCACCACCTTCTTCTTCCCCTCCCAGCGCTCTGACTTCTTCTTATCCGGCTATGTGTGTGTGTGTGTGTGTGTGTGTGTGTGTGTGTGTGTGTGTGTGTGTGAGAGAGAGAGAGAGAGAGAGAGAGAGAGATTG